TGGCTTACAGACTGCGTCCCATTTCTCAAAGAGATTGATCAACGGCGAGGACTTTATCCTTTTTACCCTTATTGCACTTTGGAAGCGTAGTATACGTGACACGAGGATGCGTCCGGTAGGAGTAGGGGTTTGTGTTCAGCTACCGGGAGACACCGTGTAGCTGGAGTTTTCGAGTGTCTGCTAGTAAGAGCAGAAGACTCTCCAAAGCCATCTATGACTTGAAAGTACTCCGATGGTTTTAGGGAGAGATCTGAATGGGACACCCGAAAACTCCAGCTACACGGTCTTGAGTACTGCGGTTTTCCGCTCCATGGGAAACAAAAACGTATAACCCTTCATTCTCAAGACTGAACGTGAATTCAGTCCTTCTTCCCCACTCATCCCCACAAACGCGCTAGAATCTACGTCCCGACAATCCAAAAAAAGGGCAACCCAATCTGAATTCCAAACATCTCTCTCGTCGTTACTCTCCTATCACCATGTACTTAACCCAAATCTGATGGTTGCTAAGTGCAGGAAGGGGAGGCTTGTTGGGGTCGATTTTTCAGAATTCTCTTGTCAGTAATAGGTTAGCTAGCACATTGCACTTGTCTTTGAACTTTAGTACCTAGGTCGGGCAATCACGGGGATCAACCTTTAAATCGTTGAACTCAACCACTGCACAACTCAACCATTCTGAATCGCAGAGTTGACTGGTGGAAGCCGCGTGGACTTACTATCCAACTCAGTTTTCCCATAAATATGCGCGGGGCATAGTGACAGTCTAGATTTCCTCTACCACCATAACATTAATTTTTACTCAAGCAGTCGACAGCCATAAAGCAGAAATGTTCAGCCAATAGACGTTGAACTAATTGTTAATAATTCTGCACTTCTACGGTTCTCTTTATGTAAACTGTCTTTGCCCCTCCCTGATCACACTTTATTTCGATCCCCATTGTTTTTCTCGTTATAGATTTCGTCGTTTTATTTGAGTTTCTCTCTGTGTGTATATTTCACATCGATTCAGTGCTAATCACAAGGTCTGATCAAATAAATCGCAGCAGCCGCAATTCAACGCGCTAACGATACCAGTCCTCTCGAGGCTCGTCCTCACCGATAAGCACACCGATGACAGGTGACAATAGATTTCCTGAGCAGAAAGACACGTTTGGATTCAGTCGGAAGTGGTCAACCGCACGGACAGAGCTGTCCAGCAAGCAGCGCACCCTCTAGATTCTGCCTGTACCGGTTATTAGCTTCCCCACGCGAACAACAGATCAGCGATAGCAACCGGATTCATTTAAATGGTTGCCAAAAAGTTTCAAAAAATGGAATAATCGGCAGAAAGTGAGAAGGGCCTCCAAGGGGAAGTAGGGCCAGACGATCGTACCAGTCTATCTCTACTAGCCTCATAGTCACCTCAAACGTAACAGACTGAGAGTGCCTGCAGTGCCTTTTCTAGGGAATGCAGCTTTTCAGATTTGTAGGAGCACAACAAAGGAACGAAGGTATCGGGGGAAGGAGGGGGTGAGCACGCGATGGCGCGACTATGACATGCTGTCAGTCTTGTCCCGCCACGTCCCCTCCAAGCAACTGAACCAGTGGAGCTTGTCCCGCCACGTCCCCTCCGAGCAACTGAAAAAGTGGGAGCTTACTGGGTGAGAGGGTGCAGGTGAGTAGATACTGCGCGGCATAGTCGCGCCGCCTCGTGGCACCCCCAACTGCATACATTTTCCCTGCTCTCAGTGCTCAGCAGACAATTTCGGAGACAGACGAGGATTCTATTGCAGGTCCACATGGGAGATGCCAGTTCATGAGTCGTGATTTTTTTCCTTCTAAAAAAGGCTGGAGGCCCGCTGATCGCTGCCCCCTCCCTCATAACAATCTCGATTCTGGTTTTCGACAACGCCCAAATAAATTAAAACAAAAGTTGAGACTAGAAAAAAAATTTAAAAAGGCACAAGCCACCTCGGGGAGCTTAACAAGACCCTGTGCGGCCGACAAATGGATCAAAGATAAGACATTATCGTACTGAAATAGTTCAGCACCGACTTCTTTCATCTTAGGCTCAGGAAAGCAGTTAATCGTTCTAATGGCGGTATTCTAGTTTTGCACGCTACATACCCGCTGTTTCTTCTCACCCCCTCAAAGAAGTCCTTTGAATGCGACCCTCCCCCACCATCAAGGCCATAAGCACCTCGAAAAGTCCCAACTTACCGCACTGGGTCAATCGAGGCGTCAATTCATGGTAATCAGGATAATCCAACCAGTCTGCATAGTGTTCATAAGTGTATCCGAGAAGATCATGAATCCTAGTGTCCACGCCTGAAAAAAGACTTCATTGGCAGGGATTCACTAGGAAAAGAGAAGTAGTTCTGCGCTACTAAGCACTTGGCAGTAGCCACTAAGATACACAGTGGGAGGTCTTGAAGGTAGCGGCATTGGATCAGGGACTGTATACCATCCGCATGGACTGCATACAGCCCGTACATTTCCTCTTCCGAAGAGAGTCCCACTCCTTTGCTATGACTTGTGCTCACCACTCGTGTGTACATTAACGTCGGTTCGATCAATCACAACGAATTTAGGGTATTAAGCTTGCCGATCCATTGTTTGCTCATCATTCTGGCACAGGACTATAAGTCTTTAGGTTGAACTGCCTCGTTGACACGGTGGCGTGTACGGTAGCCTAGGCGATTGACCGGTGTTAATCTGTTTGCTAACGCGCGCACCCGTTACTGTCAATACACCGGGGCACATCCATCGAAGCGGCGACAGCAGCAGCGAGCGGCTCACTCAGAGAATGAGCCGAAGCACTCGTGCTATCGTCGCGTCAACGCAGTGCAAACATACGGTGATGGTGAGGATGACGATCAGAGCAGTGCAGATTAACGTATTCGAATGATCTCGGACAACACTTGAGCATCGAGAAAGGCGGTCACAGCTTGGCGCTATCTTTTCGGGCTCGCTGAAAGAGCACTAGATGCTTCCTAGATAAACAAATCACAGGAAGACTTAGTAATCTATACCTTCAATTGGACAGGTGTAGGGTCCTTTGGCTCTTGAGGCTACAAGATCGCCTTGATGAGGTCTTACTTGGAACATATGATACCGCTATATGAAACAGTTACATGGAAACAACGCGAGAAAGCCTTTTGAGTTGTCACAAAACCTCACAAAACCAAAGGATAAGGCACGCAAGGTTGACTAGTCATTCTGGAATGCGCCACGCACTCTATTCCCACTTAGAATAAAAGTGGCTTTTTATTTAGTTTTTTTATTCATTTCAAAC